GGGATGCCGGACTCGTCAGTGGCAGAGCCGACCTTGGCGTCCTTGTCGAACTTGTCGGCGGTGACGTAGTCGACGGGGAGGACGAGCTTGACGTTGTTGGCCTTGGCCTTCTCGACGAGCTTGCCGACGGTCTTGGAGCCGGACTCGTCAAAGAGGGAGTCACCAATGCTGACGTTCTCGAGGGTCTTCTTGAAGGTGAAGGCCATGCCACCGCAGACGATGAGGGTGTTGACCTTGTCCAGCAGGTTGTCGATGAGCTGGATCTTGTCAGAGACCTTGGCGCCACCGAGGATGGCGAGGAAGGGGCGCTGGGGGTTCTCGAGGGCCTTGGCGAAGTACTCGAGCTCCTTCTTCATGAGGAAACCGGAGGCCTTCTGGGGCAGGTCGACACCGACCATGGAGGAGTGGGCGCGGTGAGCAGTGCCAAAGGCGTCGTCTGGTTGGACATGTCAGCTTCTGAGACAAGCCGGGGTTCTCAATGGCAATCAAGAGTCATGGACATACTGATGAAGACATCACCGAGGGCAGTGAGGCCCTTGCGGAACTCCTCAACCTTGGCCTTGTCGGCCTTGGTCTTGTTGCCCTCCTTGTCCTTGGCGGAACCCTCCTCCTCAATGTGGAAGCGCAGGTTCTCGAGGAGGACAACCTGGCCGTCGGTGGCCTTGTTGACGAGATCCTCAACGTCCTTGCCGACGCAGTTGTTGGCGAACTGGACGTTCTTGCCGAGCAGCTTCTCGAGCTCGGGGACGACGGGCTGCAGGCTGTACTTGGGGTTCTCCTGTCCATTGGGACGGCCCAAGTGGGACATCAGGACGACGGCCTTGGCGCCATTGTCGATGGCGTACTTGATGGTGGGGACGGCACCGGCAATACGCTGGTTGTTGGTGATCTTCTTGTCGGCGTCGAGGGGGACGTTGAAGTCGACCTAGGTGAGGGGTCAGCAAGGGGAGTCCGACCTTCCGGCTTAGTGGACCGTGGCTTTTGAAAGCGTGCCCAGCGTTCCCGGTGTATTCCAATGCCGTCAGAGGAAGCATGTGCAGGGTGGCCGAGTCGAATACCCGCGGCTCGTCCCGTATCGCCAGAACACGGAACGGGTGTGAGGTGATACCCGGGATCAGGCGCGGGTGCGGGTGGCATGGTGGCATGGTGGGGTAATTTGAGCAGCAGCGCAGCGCCGCAGCAGCAACAAAGGCACCACCAACACCAAAACCGTCCCAAGCAACGCTCAAGGCCAGGACATTAACATGGTAAGAGTGGCACGACTTACGCGAATGAGGACGCGCTTGCCCTTGAGATCGACATCGGTGATGGAGAGCTTGTTGGCGAGAGACATGATTGCGGTTGTGAGGGGCGCAAATGTGTGAGGATGAAGGGTAGAGTTGTAGGTTGAAGAAGTAGAAAGAGGAAGAAGAAGAGGAGGGGAGGGAATGCGTTGAGGAAGTAGTAAAAGGTCTGAGGTATATTTAGCTAAGGTAGCTACCACACACACACACACGCTACTTACCTTGCCCAAGGTGGGATGGCTGGACCTGATGGAGTGATTGAGGGAGGGACTGGACACCACGCCGGACACTTCTAAGAACAGCGCGGGCAGGGGGGGGTAAAACATGCAGTAATCAGTCAATTCGAGTGGTTCGACACGGGCACCTCACGTTGGGAAGCTTGCGATGGTGGGGTGCTGCTGTTACTGCCAGTCAGTGCCAGTGACTTGGACGCTACTGATACGTAGTAAGGCAGAGCAAGCAGGATGGAAGGAGGGGCATCTTTGCTCGGCGGTTTTTTGCATAACATTTTTTTTTTCTGTTGGCGGGGTTGATTTTCGGCCCTGCTGCTGCAAGCCTGCAATTACTGTACCTTATCCATGGGTGGTAGATACCCAGATTGGGCGTATCAGTGGGGGGAGCTTTGCTTACCTTACCTACCTTACCTTAGGTGCCCTGTCCAGTGCTTTTCCACTAAATCGGCCAGCTGCGACAGCGGGGGTGCTGGTGCTTGCGGCCTGCCCCGCCATGGGTGTGTGACGTGATGGTAGTCTGATACCTCACAGAAACTGCGCTTTCCTCAACCAATCCCCCGGTCACGGCCGTCCACCCGGAATCAACGGACCGTAGCCAAAATACCTATCGCCCGATACTAGAGACATGACATGGAAGGCAAGGCAAAACACACGGAAAGACCATGCAGCATCTTGGCTATCTTATGGTTTCGTTTCAGACGCTATTGTTGGTACATAGCAGTCCTGACCCGAGGACTGTGCACAAAACCTGCTGTGGTATTTTATAGCAACAATTTTCAACAGCCAAGGTGACCGGGGTTTGCTTTCAGTGACAAGCTTCAAAATATCACCGAGAGATCCGCCGGTCCAAAATCGGAGCCATTACAACATTCTCAGACCATACCTCATCCAAAGCATCAGATATCATGAATGAACCGTTGTGTTCAATTTCGTTGCGTTTTACAACTGCTGGCTACAAAAGAGAGACGATGAAAAGAGGGCCTTCCTAAATCAATGTCGGACCCCAAAACACCAGACGCCTGTACCGTCGCAGCAGCCGATGCCGTTAATGCCGTTGCTGTCTCTTTTTTTACTTGTAACGATCGAACAAATTCTAAGTACGACTGTGCTTCATTGGTATAACCTTCTCGTGTGCTCGCCATGGTGTCGACCAGACCCGTCCCATACCAACCTGCAGACCGAAGATACGAGGAAATCAAGTATAAGTAAGGAATTTAGCTAAGACGAATGTGGTCGTCCTCGCGGGCGCCGGGGCGGTTATCGACCTCGGTAGATGAGTTGGTGAGGGAGAGGTAGGCGGTCCAGGCAATACCGATCGTAGAGACGAAGGGCTACGTAGTGTTAGCATACGTTCCAAGTGTTTCCCGTTCAGCTTTTCAAACTTACCAGTTGGAACTGCATGGGCATCAGGCGGAAGTTGACAACCTGCACGGCAGGCCAGACGATGAAGTTTGCCTTCAACGTGGGAATGTACATGTCGCGCAGCTTGCTCATAACGGCACGGCGTCCACCGCCCTCCGCGACAGTCATGACAGAGAAGAAGCAGAGCAGACCAAAGGGGGCAAAGATGAGCTGATCAAAGGCGACTCTCTGCATGGCAGGGACGAAGGCGCTGGTCTTGGTGATGGGGAAAGTGGCCGACAGGAACTTGAACCAGCGGAACTGGAGGGGCGCCATGCCGAAACCGTAGGCCATGAAGCGAGTCAGGCGCTCGAAGTCGAAGGGGGGAGGCAGGCTGCTGATGTTGGGAATGAGGTCCTTCTCGTAAAAGGGGTTCTTGCGGTCGAGGTCGTGGATTTCGATCGCGATGCCATCGTCCTTGTCGACGCCGCCGGGCTTACGGACGGCCTTCAGGCGAAGGGCGGTAACTGTCTGTGCGGTCGTATCGGCGATGCCACCGAGGATGGCGTTGGTCACCATCATGGTGAGCACTGTTGCGACAATAGAGTCAGTATGGATGATGGATTGTAGTATGGCGAACTCTGGATGTGGGAGCCTTGGAGGCACGTACGTGGCCGTTCATCGTAGTATTGGTTGGACTTGGACACCAACCGGGCGACGAGCGCCATTTCGATAAGAATGATGATTGCGTGAAGCAGTGGCTAACAGTAGGTTCGTAGGTCAGCGCAAAGTTGACTTGATCAGGTGCGGCGCGATAGGCGTAGATGCAAGAGATGCAGCGATAGGAGACAGCGCAAGCGCAAGTGGTAGTACGGAGGTGGCGGACGGGAAAGCAAGACAGCCAAGCAAAGATTCAGATTCAACCGTGTGAGGAATGTTCTAGGGGCAACACGAAAAGCAACGAATGGAGCAGGCAGGTAGGTACGACAGTGCTATGGAAGGGGTTGGCATACGAGGCGTCCATAAATGTATTTGCTGTTGACAGCTCGGACAATGCGACGGCGAGAGAGTTCCCACGACATGGTGACGGATTATACAGAGGAGGCGCCCGGGGTGGGAAAGAGGTTCTAGAAGAAGGAAATGATAAAAAAGAATAATATGAGAGAAGGAGGCGGCGACCGGGCGGTGGTTCGGTTCTGTTGGTTTGTGCTTTTGGCTTCGGGTTGGGGGAGCCGGATCGATAAGGTGCGCCGCTATCGATTCGTTTATTGCCTCTCAGAAGTGAGGTAACGATTTGGCAAGCAAATCGACAGGCGATGGGAGGGATGAAAAATATGGTCGAGGGTGACGAGGACCCTTGGATGTGCTTTCTACAGGCGGAGGCTTCGAAAGGCTGGGTACGGGAAGTGACGAGTGACGAATGACGACACCGTAGCGAGAAAAGGGTACTGATGTGCTTCGTTGTGGCGCACGGGAGGCGGATGATTGGCCGGTATCGCTGGTTTGGGTGATTTGGAGGGGAGGCGACGGAGGTTTTGTTCCCGCTGGTCTGACAGAAAGCAGAAAGACGGTTGACCGAGAGAGTCGGGGAGGCGAGACCGATGAAGCAGCAGCGATGAAGAAGAAGGATCTTCAAACTTGGCGAGAGTAATGTAGGACGGATGCGACGGGGGTTATAATTAGGAGAGGACAGACCAGCGCAGGAAATGGGAGGGACAGGATCTAAAAGAAATGGAGCAATGCAATGGCAGGCACGGCAGGTCATGAAGCGCGCTGCAACCGAGAAAGATTGATCCTGGTTGTTTTTTGCCTCGCTCGAGTGGTAAAGAAGAGGCGGGAATAAGACGATGGAATGGTGCTGCAGGTTTGCTGCTTTGCGTGCTTCAAAGCAATGGAACTTTAAAAGATACAACCGACAAGTATCTTCCTGTCCTCTACCTTACCTTACTGCGGTAGGTATGTCCGTCCACGAAAGGAAGGTGAGGCATCAGCAGAGCTCTTTCCTCCCTCCTGTCTGCGAAATCATCGGCGGATAGTCGGCCCAAGCCACACCTTCCTCAGGATTAACACTGTGTCGTTGGCGCCTTCCGCTTCCCCACAGATCACCATCAGGCAGAACCGCAACCACCCAGGCTGGCTAAAAATGGATCTTGGCCAGTGTCTCAAGGCTCAAGTTTGGACAGAAACATGGGGCAGACAACGACACTGCGGATGGACAGCGGGCCTCAAGAGCTCCCCGACGGGCCCCGACCCTACCGAAGCCGCACCCCTCCGTATGCCGCACAGTGCACTCACCAGCCTACGCCCCCACCAGCTCCTTCCCGCATCCTCCTGGGTCCTCTCACCGTTCAATGCCCATTCAAGGTCGCTCACCACCTCACCTCACTCACTCACTCACTTACACCGACCCTCACAACCTCATTCCTCAGACCAACAGTGTTATGTATTCATCCAAACAACAACCTCATGTGTGAGACACCTTAGTCAGATGGAACAGCACACACCCCCATCCACAAACTTCATCTGTTTCTTCAAACCGACCGACACCCTGCACAGAAACCCCAAACACGACTTTTGCTCTCCCGATCAATGCTCCCGTTTCATACACGCGTACATTCGTGGGGTAACCGCTGTTTTCCACTCCCATCGCATGGCTAGTGACGTACCAGGGTGAAGCTTCTTTATTCACCACTTACTTTCCAACTTAGTACCAGCTTGTCGTGTTTGTGTGCTTGTCAAGCTTTTTCGTTCAAGACCTCCTGTAGAACGGACCGGCGTGTGAACAAGTCACTTGCCTTCTCAACAATCTCATGTGTCCAAAGGCTATGACTATGACGCCCTCCCGCCTCGCGCCCAATCGAAACAGAGTTACGGAACGGCGCTGCAGTGAAAGTATGAGCTTGTTAAACATAGGGGTCCTGCCTAGCAGGATGAACCCTGACCATCTTACCTGATCGCGGCATACCACTTTGTTTAATCTGTCACATTTTGTTTCCCAACGCCTCCCTCCTGCTTAATCTCTCGAGAATAATGGTTGAAAAGTATGAAGAGATGAAGGCACCCTTCGACTGAGTCGGGGCATTCACCGTGTCAATGCTACCATCTACAAGCTGCCGGCCGCCGGCAACGTCAACACCATCGCAACATACTTCCCGGACAGATGCCTCCCTTTTCCGCAACCTGATGCAGCTGGCTTCTCGGGAGCCGGGTAATTGCTGTCAAGTTGAACAGTAGAAAAAAGGGGCTCGCAACTGGTTGATGTGCTAAGTGTTTGAGGGGCACTTTCCATGAAGCCCACTTCAGTCTTTTGCTGTAGCTATCACAATCAAAAGTCACATCAAGTCAAGCATTACCAGTAACAGCAGATTGGCCAGTAAGCTGAGAACAGGAGCAAAAGCATACGGAAGAGAATACTTTCACAGCCTTGTTCACTCAAAGCAGTTAGCACTGACGAGTCAAGTGAGACTTGAGACCATCCCAAGAGCCAATTCAAGTTGAATTCCGTAACCTTCGGGTATTTTTGAATTATCATTAGCATCGAAACTATTCTGTTTCAAGCAGCAGTTCATATCCCCCTGCCACTTGCGACTACTGCTCTTGTGCCCATGCTCAACAGCAGCTATCCGAAGTCCGGACCGCAGCTCTTCAGACTTCAACCTAGACCTCCCTGTTCTCAGTGCGACGCACCGGCCTACTTTTCCAAGTAGACATTGACAGACGAGCGCGAGTATCCAAACGTCTTGGGCCACTGGCTGTAATCCGGCTCAAACAAGACGGCGTCGTTGCAGTCACTTCCCAAGCTCGTGTTGTTCAACCACGCTATCAAAAGAGTCAGCATCTCAGTTCACAACCAGTAAACAGAAAAGAGTAGTGCTCACCAGGCTCCCAGTACCAAACACCCTGTCCAAGACCCTTGGGCGTCTCCCTCACAGTCTTGAGCAGCTTCTTCATCCACTGCACCTGACCATCAACATTATACGGGATACTCGGCTCCGACGACTCGGGGATCGGGTTCCACTGCCCGTTGCAGATGGCAGGGTAATCCGTCTCGACAACCTGCATCGGCTTGCCGTACTTCTCTCCGAGCACCTTGAGCGTGTTCTTGAGGTTCGCAAACGTCGCCGACGTGCCGTAGAACGGGTAAAAGCTAAACCCGAAGCTGTCCCACGCCGACAGCGGTACCCCGTTGTCGACGAGCGCGCCGTACCACCGCTCCTGCAGCGTCAGGTTCCAGCCGTTGTCGAGGTGGATCATGACCTCGGGCTTGGGCACGCCCGCGCACGTCGCGTCTTTCACGCCCGCCCGCGCGGCCTTGTAGAGCGTCGCAAAGTTGGTAAAGTTCTTGACCAGCGCCGACCACGGCTGCACGTCGACGTTCACCTGGCCGAGAGGCCACAGCGTGCCGTGGCGGAGCTCGTTGCCTAATGACACAATATCCAGCGTCACGCCGGCGTCCTTGAAGGCGACGAGCGTCTCGCGGACGTAGTTGCGCAGCGTGCCGGCCAGGGGCTCCAGCTGCGTCGGCCACGCCGCGGGCAGCGGCTGCTTCTGCGGGTCGGCCCAGCTGTCGGCGAAGTGGAAGTCCAAGAAGATGCGCTGGCCCTTGGCCTGGAAGCGCTTGGCCAGGTCGATGGTGTAGTTGAGGCCGTAGGTGCCGTCAGGCGGGTTCACCCACAGGCGGAGGCGGACGGCGTTCATACCGCCGTCGGCGAGGATGTCGTCGGCCGGGCGAGTCGCGTTGCCGCGCGCCGTGTCAATGTAGATGTTTTGGTTCTCCTCGAGCATCTTGAGAGAGCTCAGGTCGTGGCCTTTGTAGAAAAAGGGCTTGCCGTGACCGGGGCCGGGGCTGTTTGCGTTTCTTCATGTTAGCCTCCTGTTATCATTGTTCTAGTGCCTCAAGGTGTGTGTTTTCGGTGTAAGTGATGAAATTAAGTGGTGAGAACGTACTTGACGGGCTCCGGGGCCGGAACAGCCGTGGCCAGAGCCGTGAGGCTGAGGAGAGAGAGCAACTTCATGATGAGATGATATCACAGCGGTTGAGACACACAAAGAGCCAATTCTCCAGCCCTTCCCTCGACGACGCAACAGCCGTGTTATATATCAATCGCAACAACCCCCTCACCGCCCACCGGGCTAGGCATCAGGTCGAACCATGATTTCACCACTCTGGCAAGGGTTCAAAATAAACGCAAGCGAGCTGTCAGTCGTTACGGGTCTCGGCAATCTCTGTGTTTTTCCTTTCTCTTCTCGGGCCAATGTGACCATTCGACGGAAGATTTCCAAAGGGCAGAAGCACTCAAGACGGCAGGCAAAGCAGCAGCTGACAGAATGGAGACGGCCCGAACTGCGGGGACTCATCGCGGGGTTACCGGGGGAGACCCCAGACTCGGCACGCTGACGATTGGTGCGCCTGCGCGAGCTGGAGGTGGTGGACCCCTGCTCGCCCGCAATTTTCGGATATTGTGCCTCCAACGAGTTACAGTAGCAACAATAGCTTCGTTGGTCTGGCTGGGGGTGCCAAGTTCCAGCAGTCTGGGCCTCGACGTGGGTGGCCGTTGGCATCATCAGGTGACGGGGGCGGGGATGAAGCTTCGAGAAAAACATATGGGAATTGGGGGGCCCAGCCAACGTGCCAGCCTCTCCCAGACCTTGAACCAATCCTTTCACGGCCCTCTCGGAACTCTCAACCGAGGTTTATCACGTCGAAGCTCCGGATATTGATATAGCCTTGATAATTACGTTCCATTTGTGGTTAAGCTTAACCATCGGCTAAGACGCGGGTCCAGTCGAACTTCCTCCATTTCTTCTTGAAACCCTCGACTCTCCGGTCACCCTTGTTCCACCGTCCTTGTTTCTTGATCACGTCCGGGCCGACGTCTAGGATGCCCCCGATTATCTCCCTTGCAAAAAGGTCTCCTCTCGGCCAGCGGTCAGAGTTCTCGACAATGTGCCCGAGGCCGCCGTCGAGCGTGAACCACGCGTGAAAGTAGGGCATTTCTTTTGCGATGCTCCTCCGGAACGCCATCCTGCCCATGCCATCTCTTGCCTTGGCGGCCGTGTCAATGATCTTCCGGTGCTGCGACCACTCATCTTCCGTGGTGAGGAAGGCCTCTTTAAAGTAGGCCGGAGCCGTCGCGCCCTCTTCGTACGGGATCGGCACAGCCATCATGGCCGCATGGAGATGCCTCTGCGGCGTGGCCGCATTCTCGTAGAAAATGACTTCTTGGCCCTTTTCGTGGTACATTCTCGTCAGAGACTTCATAAAGTTTCGAATTTCTTCCCATTCGTCGTCGTCACACTCCAGCAGGTTCTTGCGGTGTGCCATGGGTGTAATCACAGCGCCGCCTTCGCTGACCTCAGGTTCCGTAGGCAGCGTCAGGAATACGCGCGTAGCAAGAGAGATGACCGGTGCCAGAGGAGGCTGTCCCTTGTCTTCGTGATGGCACAACGGACAATTATCCAGAATCCGTGACACCTTTTGATATTCGTTGACGGCCACATTCTTGAGGTTGACCTCGGACTTGTGAACTCGCTTGGCAAGCTTGTCCGCATTCTCGTCCATGTAATCGAGGTCGTCGTCAAACTTGCCATCCTTGGCAATGCGCTCAGCGAGCCGCATACCTTCGCCGCCTGCTTGACCGCGGGTCCTGCGCTCCTCGCGAACCATGTCTTCGATTGACATGTCCTCGTTGGCTTCAACGTTCCCGCGCTCCCGCCCACGCTTGTTTTCGATGGCCTTGACCTCACCACGAGTCCCTGCCAGCATTCGGTTATCCATGACACCAAGAACAACAGACTGCGGCCCGTTCGTAGCAAAATTTGCTGCGGCTTGATTGTACTCGGCTTCCAATTTGGCAGCATCCGGTGATCTGCGAAGCTTCGCCTTCATCATCTGAGCTCGCAATCTGTTCAAGGCGGTCTGGTCCATGGGCATATGCTGCATGGCATTGTCGGGTATGATGACGCCCTGCTCCACATCGTGGGTATCGTCTCGTGCGGCGGGTGTCTCGTCTTGTCGGTGTTTCTCCATGCGCTCGCGATAAAGGTCTCCCGTAGGCTTCTCCTTACCCGCGTAACCACTTCCATACACCTTGCGCCTGTCCATCTCGATCTTTTCCTCTCTCGCGTCGTCGAATTCTTGCAAATCACCAAATCTCTCCAGAGCAACATCTTCAACCGACCGGCCAGACTCCTCAGCCATGGAGTAGACACCCTTAAGCTTCGTCAAGCGCCACTGAGAGCCATTGTCTCCGAATTTGTAATTGACCGTCCGCTCTTTTGCCGCGGCCTTCTCATCCGATGTCGGAATATTCTCCACTTCAGCGAAGTCTCTGTTGATTTCTCTGTCGTGAATGACTCTCGGAGTCTCTTCCTTTGGTGGTGGCTTAACCTCCTTCTGTTTCCGCTGGACGTAGTCGATGTCAAGGGCCGACGGCGCAGTCATCCAAGAATCGCGCATGAGCGGTGCCTCTGCATTCTTGGAGTTTTGCGGTGTTTCTTCGTCCGGAATAGGCAAGTCCTCTTTCGGATCTGATGTCTTTTCGTGGGTGTCCGTCCGCCGCTCCTCGTCGTCCTTTTCATGACGAGAGCGCTTGTGTCTGTGACCATCATCCCCATCTTCTTCATGGCGACGGGATCTGTGCTGTCGATGCCTGTCGTGGTCTCGGTCGCGGT